CGCCAGCGCTTGCTCTCGAAAATTTGCAATCTCAAGGTCCTTGGCCTTGAGCTGCTTGTCTCTCTCGACTGCATAGTTGGTGACTGCTGCCTTCTGCCTCTGCTTATCACGTTCCAAGGCTGGGGCCCTGAAGCTCGGCGCCGTCTGCAGAGGTTTGGGGCCTCCAAACGCAGCACCTTTGTTGCATTGGCAGCTTGAGCAAGCATTGAGGTCACCTTTGTTCCACCACTTCTCACCTGTCCGTGGATGAACACACCATCGGCATAGCCACGGCGCGGCCCATGCCTTGCGAGAACCGACCTTCGGCATGCGTCCGCCATCCACCATGTGTCAGTGTCTGGAAACAGAACGAGATCGGGAGGTACGGTCCCGAGCGTGGAATGCGTTGTGAAGAAAAGCGGCACCTCCAGCCTGGGCAGGCTCTGGGGAGGTGCGGGAGCGGTGAGGGCCGTCGGTTCCCTCCTGCCAAAATGTCAGGTCCGAGCCAACTCTACGGACTTGAACCAAAATGGCTACGGAAAGGAGGAGGAGGATGAGGAGGAGGAGGAGCCAATAAATGAACTGCCGAGAAGAAGGGGCCGAGTTGGGGGACCCAGCGCCCAGCGCCGTGTGGTGACGGACCGCGTGGTGACCTCGGAAACCCGAGCGACCTCACCGCGCGGTCCGTCACTGCACGGTCTTGGGACCCTGAGGCTCAGGCCGCCCGAGACGTCCTCGGAAAACGACCCGAGTCCCAAAACCGTGCGGCGACCCATAACCGAGCTTTTTTTCCCAACCACCCTGTGGTGTTGAGTCCTCGTCATGACGAAACAGAGCCGCGCGTCCTCTCACCTCCTCCCGCCCTCCCCCCCCCTCCCTCCTCCCTCCTCCCCCTCCTTGCCTCTGCTCCCCGCATCAGTCCACCATGTCGGCACACCCCTCAGACGCGTTGTGGCCCCATCGGGAGCTCAACCGGAGACAACAATGGGAAAGTTCGTATGGCACCGCCGCCACATTTCGGCACACCCCTCACACGATTCGCGGCCCCCTAGGGAGATCCACCTGAGGCCACAGTGAGAAAGTTCGCATGGCACCGCCGCCCCACTTCGGCACAGACCTCACACTTTTCGTGGTCCCATAAGGAGCTCCACCTAAGGCCACAGTGGGAAATATTGGAGGACACCGCCGCCCCATTTCGGCACACCCCTCACCCACTTCGTGGCCCCATAGGGAACACCACCGAATACGAGATTCACAGTTGCGGCACTCATAACTGCATATGGTTGGGTCATTCGCCAAGCTAATTGTCATGCTTCGGGGGAGCGGCCGTTACCGGCCTCGGCCGCCCCCACCCACAGGTAACGTCACGATCGTGCTGGACTTCCAGACGGCTCGAGGGGGCTCCAAGAAAGCTCCCAGAGAGCACTCCTGCAGTGGCACCCAAGAGGGCCCTTTGGGTGCCACTGTCAGAAGGCGCTCTTGAGGCGCTCTTGGACTTCTCTCGGGAGCCTTTTTCGGAATCTTCTGAGGAGCCCAAGAGGAGCCCAAGAGCAGGTTGTTGGCCCTCTTGGAACCATCTTCGAGGCGTCTTGCAGCCCTCTCAAAGACCCCATCCGTGTCCAAAAGAAGCCCAAGAGCAGCCCGGGAGGGACCCAACAACACTCCAAGAGGACCCGAAGATGGCACCCCGACAGTGGCACCCACGAGCCCCTCTTGGGCGCCAGCCGGGTGGCCTTTTGGGGGCCCTCCTGGGGTCCTCTTGGGCCCCCTCTGGTCTACTCTCGAGGCCCCGTTGGGCGTCTCTCAGAGCCCTGGTGTGACCGAGAAACTTTCTCAGCCGCCCGTCGGGCCGCGAAGATCAAGTGCGAGCAACTGATTTCCTAACTGGATATCGTTTGACCGACCCTTATCCCCACTGGCGTGGCCCTCGTCCCACTGAGCGAATTACCCCCCCACACACGGTGGGATGTATGCCGTCTTCCTCGGGTTTCAGGGGGTAAATCTTTACCTCGGCGGCGGGGGGAAGGGTAGGTTGGTAGGAGGCTCAATAGGGGTTGGGGTAAGTTAGCCGATACTGAATCACCTCCGCCGCTTTCCCTACCCTCCCCCCGCCACCCCCGACGTCGCGACTTTTTCCCAACGGCGGCCCTGGATGTGTTAACCTCTTCCCCGGGATCAGATCTATCCGGCTTTATCATCCTGAGCTGTGTGTTCGCTCCAGAAGACCAATGAGATTGTGAAGCCTGAGAACGGCCGAAAACGTTCCGTCGTCGTCGTCGCCCGTGGGGAGGGCCTCATGAATCCAAGTCCCAGAAGCCCTTTTCGGAACCAGAATGGTGGAAATGTCTTGGAGGCTGCTTGCGGCGTTCCGTCGTCGTCGTCGTCGTTGCCGTCGCCTCTTGGGGAGGCCTTTCGAAGGCGCAAGGAATGATGTCCCCGGGAGGCTTGTTGGCAAAATGAATGTCGGAAGTGTATTGGAGGACTGCGTGGGGCGTTCCGTCTTCATCATAGCCTCTTGGGAGCAATGTTGGGGGCCTGATGAATCATGTTCCTGGCAGGCCTCCCAGGAACATGATTTTGGCGCTTACTCCAATCTTGGAGGGCTGCATTGGCGTCGGCCATGCCTGGGGCCTGATGAATCATGTTCCCACAAGGACTTCTGCGAGCATGATCTTTGAGAATGTCTTTGGGAGCTGCTTGGGCCGGTCCGTCGTCGTCGTCGTCGCCTCTTGAGGAGCCATGTTGGGAACATGAATTGTGGGAATGTCTTGGGGGGGCCTGCTTGGGGCGTTCCGTCGTCGTCGTCGTCGCCTGTGTTGGGGCGTTCCGTCGTCGTCGTCGGCCACCGATTACCGCGTACCTTTCAAAAACCTGGGCGGGAAACCTGTGAAAGACCGAAGAGGACGAGGATGAGCAGGCAACGAGGGGAAGAAGAAGAGCAGGAAAATAGTGCAGTCAGGTGATGTCACAAATATTATCATCCGATGGACCCCCTCCTGGTCCCTCCGGGGCCTCCCCCTGGCCGCTCAAATTTCTAGGGGCCTCAGGCCCATCCTGCCTCTTGGAAGCAATTTCGAAGCCTCTCGGGGCCGGTTTTGTCGGCCTCTTGGGGCCCCTTGGTGGCCTCTTGGGGCTTCTTGGGAATGGCTTGGGGCTTCCTGGAAATGGATTATTCGGGCGGACCCCGATATTTAGTGAGGATCCGAGGTGGGGGGTCGATTTTCCTCGAGCGTGCACGCGCGAAACGCATTTTTTCACGCCGAATTGGACTTTACCTCGTTTCTTTATCGAGCGGAAATCTGCCGGCCCTCTTCCGGGGGGGATAACTTTTAGTTAGTTTACTAAACCAACTACAAGAAAACCATGGGCGCGAGCCCTTTCCGGGAAAAAGGCTGCTTTGAACACGTATTGGGCAAACTTCGGTGCATCTTGAGCCGTGTTGGGGTCCTCTTGATTTGTCCTTCGCACCCAAAGCTGAGAAGATGTTGCGAACAAATCATTGTTCGAGGGTGCCTCCATGTTTGAGAACCTGAAGCCCGGAACTCAGAACCACGAATCCACAGATCCGAACTCGGGGGTCCAATCCGAAACCTGGACCAAGAACCTGGAACCTGGAATCCGAATATCCGATCTCGGAGGTCCAATGCGGAACCTCGAACCCAAAACCCGGAAACCGGAATCCTGATATCCGAACCCGGAGGTCCAATCCAGAACCTGGAACCCAGAACCCGGAACCCCGAATACGCATACCCGAATTCGGAAGACCAACCCAGAACCTGCTCAGTTGAGTGGAACCCAGAACCCAGACCCAAAATCCGGAACCCGGAACCACGAATCCGCATATCCGAATTGGGAGGACCAATCTGGAACCTGGAACCCAGAACCTGGAACCCGGAATCTGAATATCCGAATTCGGAAGCCCAACCCAAAACCTGGAATCCGGAACCCAGAAATACGAATCGGCACATCCGCATTCGGAGGTCCAATCTGGAACCTGGACCCCGGAACCCCGAACCCGGAATCCGGATATCCGAACTCGGAAGTCCAATGCGGAACCTGGAACCCGGAACTCCGAATCCGGATAACTATCCGAATTCGGAGGTCCAATCCGGAACCTGGAACCCGGCAACCCAGAAACCGCATATCCGAATTCGGAGGTCCAATCGAAACCTCGAACTCGGAACCCCGAACCTGGAATCCGGATATCCGAATTCGGAGGTCCAATCCGGAACCTGGAACCCAGAACCCGGAACTCGGAACCCGGATATCCGAACTCGGAAGTCCGACCCAGAACCCGGAACCCGGAACCCGGAACCCGGATATCCGAATCCAGATTTCCGACTTCCGAACTCGATTTCCGATTTGGACCTCTCCAGCCTGTTGTTCCGGATCGCCACTGCGTCCCGCATCGTAGCGCCCACGCAGTATGCTGATCTGGTTGTGTGATCGTCACTTGAGGTTCCTAGGATTTTGAGGCGTTGTCTTACTTGGCTTTCGTGAAGTGCAACCTGCACGGTCTTCTTTGTGGCCAGTTTAGCCATTCGGGAGGGGGCTTCTCACAGGGGGAGGTCTCACTGTTGTCTGCGGTAACAGCCACCACACCCACACAATACTTGGCGGCGCGCAAAAAAAGGGTAGGGGGAGGGGGGAAGGCTTCTTAGAAGCACCCCGCTTCTTAGAAGGCCTCGGCCTTACGTCTATGGAGAAGGCCCGCGCCTTCTAAGAAGCAGGGGTGCTTCTAAGAAGCCTTCCCCCCTCCCCCTACCCTCCTCTGCGCGCCGCCAGAATACGCTGCCGCCCTTAATACCGCACATTAGTTCGATCACCCCGCTCCTTCGGTGCCCTCCCGCTGATAACGACTATTTCTACATTACGACCATCGCTACGTCTCTGTTAATCGTGTTCGATTGTACTCTTCGCCTTTATGGTTGCCGTACTCTGCCATTCTTGCATGCACTTCTTTGTTGCCGCGAGCCTGAAACCAATTCACAAATCGATCTCGCAGCCCGCAGTTGTGTGACCTAGAGGGGCAGCTTCGGCGTGTCGCCGCGCGCGATAGAGGACAGCGCGAAGCGCTTCTTCGTGAGGTACACGTTCAAAGCCTCGAAGGCGGCGGGATCCCGTCGGCCCAGGTTGTCGTAGGCCGCGCGCCGCAGCAACACGCAACGTGTGCGGTCCTGGCGTGCGACCAGCCGGCCTGGGTGCAACATTCCGCCGAAGAAGCCGGTGGACGTCTGGAAGTGACCGCAGCAATACCTCACGTTGTCCGGCGGCAGCGAACACTTCTCGAGCCGCTGGTTCCTCCCGAGCCGGTGTATGTCCGCCAGCTTTCGCAGGTGCAGGGGGGAATGCAGAGGAACAGAGAACGGCATGAATTTAAACTTTCGGAGGTCCGCGCGGGATTCTTGGTTCTGCGCTGTGCCCCCCTCCCTGGCGCGCCGAGCGCGCAGGGGGCGGCGCCGGAGGCGCCGCCAGAGGTGGCCCAGAGCAGATACACGAAATCCGCGGGCCTCCAAAAGTTATGCCTTTCTGTCTTCTTCGGAATGCTCCGCTTCCTCGTGCTCTGGCCCGTACCAGACATGCTCCACCTCGCCGCCGAGCAGCCAGACGAGGGGCGGCGCGGGCGACTCCGCTGCGCTCCCGGCGTCTCCGACGCGCCACCTCGGCCACACCGCCGGGTCGAATGCGTAGATGGCATCGCCGCGGCCATACTCTTCGACCACGAACAGCTCCGCGAGCGACGGCAAGATGGAAGCAGCCTTCCCGCCGTACTCGCTGTAGTAACCGTGCAGCCAGCAGTGGATGTCCACTAGCAGCGGCAACGCCGGGAGGTCCGCCCTCACGCCGCTCCCTGTGACGTACGTCCACGCGTCGCGGAAGCTGATGTTCCTGACGCACGTGCAGCACGCGCGGTCGCTCGAGCGGTGGACGAGGGGGTTCCTCGCGATGACGAACTCCTCTGCCAGCTCCAGTGCGAGTGTGAGCGCAGGGACGTGACGCCCGTCCTTCGGCTACATGCCGAAGTGACCCCCAGGCAAGAATGACCTTTGGTGCCTGGGAAGCGCGGGGAGGTCAAACCCGATCGCGAAAGCCGCTGCTATCGCATCGCAGTCAGCCATCTGGGTACCCCAGTTCGCCCGTCACAAAGGTCACTCTGGCGAAGGCCACTCTTACGTGTAGCCGAGTCCTCGTCGCACGCGTCGACCAGGATCAGGGTCCCGCCACTTGCTGGCGCCTCCGCGAGCTCCCCCGCGAGGCCCGGGGTGCGGCTGGCGCACGGCAGCCCGAAGCGCACCACGGCCTGCGTCACCGCTGGCTCGGCGCTGCAGAGGCAGACGTGGAACTTCCAGTGTGCGGCGATGGCGAGCAGCTCCTGCAGCGCCTTGAGGGCCGTCGAGTCGACGCCAAGGACACCCTGGAAGTTCAGCACGAGCATCGCCATGCCTCTCTCCGCGGCCAGCTCCTGGACGCGGTGGATCATGTGGGCCGCGTTGATGAAGGAGAAGTACCCGCGGGCGAAGTGCAGGACGACGGCCTGGTCCCCGCAGGTCTTGAGGATGTCCGAGCTGACCCCGGTGCGCAGCACGTCGGAGCGCACGTCTCGCACGGTGTACTCGCTCGTGATGGGGCGTATTGCCATCAGGCGCTTCAGGGTGATCACCAGGGTCAGAGCGAGGCCAAGCAACATCATCACACCTGGGCCCATGATAAGATCGGTAGCAATCATCACGAAGACGACTGCGTGCTCTGCCGCCGAGACGTGTCCGACACCGTCCCAGAGCCAATACACAACGAGGACGAGGCCAAGCCAAAACAGCATACAGCCTGGCACCATCCTCGGGAGGAAAGCGATCACGAAATCTCCGAATACAAAGAAAGCGATGGAGCTCGAAGCGAGCATCGCGGAGAAGCGCTTCGAGCGCGCGCCCATCTTGTGGGCGGTGACAGAAAACGACATCACGATGTTACCTGGCATGCTGCCGAGCATGCCGCAACACACACTCTGCACTCCAGCGGATCGAATCTCGGTGTTTATGTCAACGTGGAAACTTGTAGCCTCTGCGGTGCCGCAAATGTTCTGCGTCGTTGTGAGCAGACTCATGAGAAAGACCTGCAGCGTCGTAATACAAAACTCCTGGCTGCAGAGCTGGTCGTAGCGCACTGACGCAAAATCCTGCATCGTCCAGATACGGTAAAAATTCAAGCTCGTCGGGACCTCATGGTCAAAGAGGTATTCCTGCGAGCGCGCGCTTTCAATTGTCGTGTGGCTAACGAAGAGAACAAGGTAGAAGACTGCAGCCATCGTGATGAGGGCTTGCGGAAGTAAAAAACTAGTGTCCCGCGCCGTCACGTGCCGCGGCAGGAGGAACACCACGGATGCCAACACGGCGCTGGGTCCAACGAGGCGCCAGAACCGCCAGGTGAGCATCGCTCTCCAGCTCGCAGCGTCTGTGAAACGTACGAAATCGGAACAAAGCAAATTCAGTGCGTACTCCAGAAGTTGTGCACCGGTACCAGCGATGAAGCCACCGAATACAACGAAGGGGCAAGACTTCACTATGTCTAAGACGCCGATATGCCCGATGGCGATAGTCAGCAAGCCACAGATGGTCGTCATAAGCGGCATCGCGAACATCACAGTCGCACACTGTTCAGGGCCAAGCCTGTTAAAATACGAAGCCATAATCGGAACCACTGGCAGCACGGCGCCCCCAACGGCGTGCGGAAACTGGGACGTGAAGCAACCTGCCACGTTCGAAACGACCATCGAGAGCAAGCCCATGCTCATGCCGAGAGAGCGGTACTCCGTGTTCGGGTGCTCCGCCGAATGAGGGAACGCGATGGACCCGAGAGACAGGCCGTCCGTCGCGCCGAGGCCGACGGCGAAGATCGCTGCGGCGAAATCCCGCAGCAGAGGGCTGGCCATCGCCGCGCCCGCGGCGACGACCGTGCACCCACGCCCCTGCGCCACGAACTCCGCCTCCTCGGGCTGCACGCAAAGAGAGCGACCCAAGGCTTAACGGGCGAAGAACGGTGTAAAATAAACTTTTTCGCTGTCGGGGGCGCCTGTCCCAGGGCGGCTGGAAAGTTTATACCCTTGCAGTGGCACCGTAGGGGTATAAACTTTCCAGCCGCCCAGGGGCAGCTGTCCCCGACGGCGGAAAATTTACTTTATACCGTTCTCCGCTCGCTGAAAGGCAAGAGTGACCTCTGGTGCGCGGCCCTCGGGCGGGCCAGGGAGGGCCGCACCCGCCCGGGCGCGCCAGTGCCGGAGGGGAACCCCGTGGGCCCACGCCCCAAGGTTCGCTCCGGCGAAGGAGCCCTCTTGCTGGACAAGCGCGCTCACACTGCACAAATCAACTGCTCGCAAGTGGCCCACAATCGCCGCGGGAGATCTGCTACATATATATATATATACACATACACACATACATACATACATATATATATATATATATATACACATACACATATATATATATATATATATATACGAGACTGCAGTGGCGCTTCGCGCCATGCACCTTGGTCCTTGAAGTTTGGTATGCCGGCGAAATAGCAGGAAGGTCAAACCGACAATTTAGCGATAACTCCTTGTTGCCTTTTCCGGCATCGCCGCTATAACAATGTTATTCGTTATCCTTTCTCCATGGTTCTGTTTCCTTTTTTTCGCCATACCCTGCGCACGCTCCCCATCCTCCTCAGTTTTTTTTGCGAAGGCTCCTCCTTGGAGAGCCTCTGGGGGCCTCACAACAGTTGTTTCAGGCTGTCTTACGGCCTTACGGAGGCCTCCTAGGTGTATTCTGGAGGCCTCCGGGGGCTTCCTCGGGCCACACTGCCTCAAACCGCGGTCTCCCTGAACGACCGGGTCACGATTCGGAATGCTTCGAAGGGCGTCTTTGGGCCATCTTGGGCCGCCATGGGGCTCTCTGAGGGCCATCTTGGACCCGTGTTGTGCCGTTTTGGGGCTCTCTTGGACTGCCTGGAAGCACTTTCGGATGGTTGTGGGGCGATTTTGGAGCCCCCCAGGCGGCTTCGAACGCCCAGAAAACCGCCGTCTTCGACCGTCGGGAAGCCGAATAAAGGAGAACCGCAGACTTCACCAAAAACCAAAAAAGAAAATCAATGATTTTTGCCACGGGGGGCCTTCTTGGGAGTGCTCTTGGAGGCCTCTTTGGGGCCGTCCTGGAGGCCTCTTAGGCCATCTTGAGGTCACGTCGGTCACTCTTGGAGCGCTCTTGTGCTGTCTTGGGGGTCTCTGGGACGTCTCCGATGACCCCCCTGATCGCCCTAGGTGTGCTGGGAAGGCTTGGCAAAACGCCCTGCGAGGCACGGGGGCCGCTTCGAAGCCCGTCTGGAGGCTCCCAAAGCCCAAGATCCCGGGAGTCCTGTTTTTTTTTTGGGGGGGGTGATGGGTTTTCCCCCCGCCCGGGCTTTTAAAAATATAGAGGAATATATATATATATATAGATATATATATATATATATATATATATACCGCCCCCATCGTGCTTGAGGAACACATCCCAGACACAATTTCGAGCACCCGGAACAATGTCGAAAGATTGTCGGACGAGTGTCTCCCAGGGCCCGACGCGCGAAAACCCTGGTTTTTTTCGGCACTACTTGGGGCGCTCGAAATTCGCTTTGGGAGGAAAACCTGATTTGTCTCGGACGTTTGCGAGCAGGTACTTTGCGAGTAGCGGAACGCACTCGGCGACTCACACGCAGCCGCCTCTTGGGCGACTCTCGGCGGCCGCGGAGGAACCCGACCGCGCGATCGCCAGTGGTGGGGGCCCCCCGTGGGCCCACATCCCAAAGGTCGCTCCAGGAGAAGGGTCACTCTCCTCCTCCTCCTCCTCCTCCTCCTTCTTCTTCCCGACGGCACCGAAGCACGAAGGCAGCAGCGAGGCACTGAATTAAAAAGAGGAGGAGGAGGAGGAGGAGGAGGAGGAGGAGGAGGAGGAGGAGGAGGAGGAGGAGGAGGAGGAGGAGGAGGAGGAGGAGGGAGGAGGGGGAGGAGGACAGCATGGGTACTGCGAGAGTTGGTTAGGTGCCGCGCACACCGGGCGCCCTTCCCATTACTGCGAGAGTTGGTTAGGTGCCGCGCACACCCGGGTGATAGATACCGCCCGCCTGCTTTTCCTGTCCCCCTTCACCAAAATCCCTCTTCACCTGCCTTCATGGTACTGCAAGAGTTGATTAGGTGCTGCGACACCGCGCCGCCTTCCCCATTGACAAAACAGTGAAGTGAAATATGAGTTGCGCCGCATTAAAAAAGCAACGCGCCTGCGACAATCCAAACGCTGGCCGCGGGTCGTGTCTCGTCCCCGTGCTCGTACCCACCCCTCTTGCTCTGCTACCCAATATCCCTCCAGCCCCCCGTGGACAAACGGAACGATGTCTACGAACGCGCACGTTGCCAGGAAGGGAGGAGAGGAGAAGGGGGATAGAGGCTAAGAGTAGAGAGGAAAGCAGAAGGGGGCGAGGTCCTCCCTGAGAGCAGCGCTGTCGCCTGAAGAAGGCGGCCCGGCCGCCTCCGGCAGCCGAGTGGTGACCGCTTGGGACAGATGTGCCGCTATGAAAGCGCACAACTCCGAACTGTATTGCTCGTCCTCCTCCTTTTCCTCCTCCTCCTCCTCCTCCTTCTCCGCCTCCTCCTCCTCCTCAGTCTCCTCCTCCTCCTCCCTCCTCCTCCTCCTCCTCTCCTCCTCCTCCTCCTCCTCCTCCCCCTCCTCCTCCCCCCCCCCTCCCCCCTCCTCCTCCCCCCTCCCCCCCCTCTCCTGGGCGGCCGCGTCCGCGGGGCTCGTGCCGCCCGCGACCAGCTCCTGCGTCAGCACCGCCGAGCGCGCGCGCCGCAGCGGGAGCAGCGGCGTGCTGAGGCCCGGCGCGGGGGCCGAGGCGCAGCGGGCGTTGGCGGGCCGAGGGCCGACATCATGGCGGCCGGCAGCCAGCGGTGCGGACATCCTCTCTGGAGGTCGGAGGAGGGGTGGAAGGAATGAGGCGGATTAACTGACTCAAGACGTGGACGATGTTTGCTGTTATGCGCGGCCCACCACTCTGCTGTGATGGGGCGTGGCCTCGGTGCGAAGCGCTCTCCGCGCCGCAAGGTGACAGAGCCGAAGTTGCAACGGAACGGATAGAACATCAAATATGCCGAACTTGTCGTAACAATTCGGCGCGGACATCATCTCTGGAGGTGGGAAAGGGGTGTGGCACATCGAGGGGTGTGGTGCCAATCGTGGAAATGGCGATGCTATCTACGACAGATAACATCGCCAGGTCCAGCGTTGGCACTGCACCCCTTTAACACCCCCCACGCCATTGTCCTACCATAAGGGGAACGAAGAATGGCATGAACGCAAAAACTCGGAGGTCCGCGCGGATCTCTCGGATCCGCGCTGGACCCCCTGGCGGCGCCTCCGGCGCCGCCCCTGGCGCGCTCCGCGCGCCAGGGAAGGGGGGTCCAGCGCGGATCCGAGAAATCCGCGCGGACCTCCGAGTTTTTACGTTTCTGCCATTCCTCGGCGGTGGACAAACCTCCCTTTAGTAGACCTCCCCTTAGTGAAAACGGCCTGGGACCGAAACCGACGGACCTGGACCCGCAAAAAGGACGGCCACGACGCCCTCTCGCGAACCGAAAACGGCCAATTCCTTAATCGACCCGAATTCTTCGTTCCCCGAATTCTTCGTTCGACCGAAAACGGCCAATTCCTTAATCGACCAGGGTAGGAGGTCTGTCCCCCCCCGAACTCTTCGTCCCCCTGATCATGCCGGCCGGCAGCCTGCGGCTTTGGACGTCGGGCAGAGGCGGCTCGAGCCGATGCCGGCCCGGAGCCGACTGGCGACGAGCTGCTACATGTTTCTCTTGCGCTTGTGGGCGTCTTCTTTCTGGCGGCGCGCACAAGGGGGTGGGGGGAGGGGGGGGGGCTTCTTAGAAGCAGGCTGCTTCTTAGAGGGCGCCGGCCTTACATCTATAGACAAGGCCCGCGCCTTCTAAGAGGCAGGGGTGCTTCTAAGAAGCCCTCCCCCCTCCCCTCACCCCCCTCTGCGCGTGGCTGATCTTTGTCGGCGTTTCGACGTTGGGCGGAAAAGGGGGGCGGGTCTGGCTCCGGTCCTCTTCTTGATGCGACTGCTTAGAACAGGGCGTCCCATGGGGGAGACTCCACCTGCTCGAATCAGGCGCCCAAAACAGCCAAGATCTGCTCCTTGGGGGGGAGGGGGGGGTGCGAGGGCCCACGCCGATCGGCAACATAATGAATGATAAAACGATCACTTTCGTAACCCTGAGGCCCTGGGGTTGGATTTATTTCACAGCGCGGGCGTCTTCGCACGGTTTCGAGCTCTGGCCCGAACAATGACGCAAGAAAATGGGCTCAGGGGCTGCGGTGGTGACTTTCCGAGAGTGTTTGGCAACGTCGGATCTGAGGGAAGGCCCTGCCGCCTAAGCCAAAGTCATTTTTCAGATGAGAAGCTTACAGCATGGGTGGTGGTCCAGGAAGAGGGCTAGCCCAACAACCTGAGCCAACTTCGTGGTAAAACTTTCGTCAAGACATTTTGCCGGTCCTTTGATTTCTAGCTCCTCTGTTGTCCCACCCCTCCCTCTGGTTGGGCCCTCGTTTTGACCAGACAGTGGCTTTCTCCGACCTTCCTTTCTCCCCCTCTTTTTCCTTATGCTGTTCTTCTTCTTCCTCCTCCTCCTCCTCCTTTTTCCTCGTCTTCCTCCTCGCCTCCCTCCTCCTGCTTCCTACCTTTCCTACTCGGATGCTGCAACCTGTGCATCTGTCGCCTGTTGGGCTCCTGGGCTTCGGAAGCTCCGCGGAATGGCGTCCTACGCGGACACGGGCGAAGCCTCGCAGCTCCTTGTGGGGGAGCCCAGGCCCAAGCGGAGTCCTAGAGTTTGTAGACGGGCGGCTCCCCCGCATCGCCCTGTCGTCGCTATCGACCGCTGCGTGCCGCCGGTTGCCGCCACTGCCGCCATCTCCGCCGCTATCGCCATCACCACCAACAGCCTCATCACTCATCATCGCCAGCATCGTCAGCGCCAACCTCATTGCTGTCGCCACCATCTCCCTTGCCTTCCAGCTCCTCGTCGCCATGATCGTCGTCGCCCTCTCCATCGCCGCGGTCTTCGTCGTCTTCGAACGTGCTCGAGTTAGGAAATTGGCTGCGCAGGCCGGGAACAGACACAGGGGCCACCTACCCTCCAACGCGTCCGCGCAGCCGGCGGAGGGCCAAGCGAGAGTCGAGAGCAGAACCCTCCCCCTGTCTGATGGGACAAATGTGTGATGGGGCGCGCCAGGTTGTAGGCGGATTCGCCATGCGGCCTGTGCCACTCGGGCATGGGGACCTCCCTGTGGGGCCACGAAGCGTGAGATGTGCGCCGAACGGCGGGCGGGAGCGCCATGCGATCGGTACCGCTGAGGATTTGCTCTCATCGCGCTGTGCAAAGCGCGCAGCTGCGGCCCGAGAAGGGCACCGAGCCGTCTTGGCCCAACACGGAGGCCGGTCAACGACCAGCGCCACGACAGCTGCCCGCTACAGGCTCGCCAAGCGCCTGCACGCGAGAGCTCAAGGAGGGACGGGCCACACGCACGAGCGTCCGCTCAGGAGAGCGGCCTTCCGCTGTTGGGGGGCACGCCCCTCGCGTGCACGACGGCATCGCGCCATCTGCTCCTGTCGGCCTCCTCGGTCTTGGCCTTCCCGCCAGGCGACCCGAGCCCACTGTGCTCCCCCCTGATACCCTTGGCGTGCTGGCCGCACCGCATGCACACCTTGTGGCCGTGGCAAGTGCGCAGCCGGTGCCCTCCTTCGCCCTCAGCGTCCAACGATCCAGGCTCGCTGGGGCCCCTGCTTGCCCTTGCCTCGGCTTGGGGCGCGGCTCCCGTCGCCTTCGCGATGGCCCGTGGGAGCGCACAGGGCGCCAACGCCGTCGCCCAGGCCACCGTGCTTCTCTGTCAGCAGCTCGCCTCCCTACGCCTTCACCGCCCCCAGCGCCGCCGCCAAAGCCCCAGGGGGCCGAAGAGCCAACCCTGCTGGCCGCTGAGCGGCTCGGTTGCCCTTGTCGCGGGGAGCAGGGGCGAGCCCGTGGGCGCCCTCCGCTTCGTGCCCAGACCGATGGCGCTCCCGCCCGCTTTGGTGGCCCAGAGGCGACTGACGTCGCCCTTCTTCGTGATCCACTCGTGCTCAGAGGGGTCGAGCCTCGGGACGGCGTCTGCATTCGGCGGTGCGGCATCCTCATGACTTGCGCAGCGCCGCCCTGGCAACTGCGGCTGCCACCACCGCGGCGGCTGCGCCCCTGGCTGACCCCTCACCTCCGCGGCCGCCGCTGGCTTCGGAGCTGTCGGTGTAGAGCGAGTCGTTCACCGTGGAGCTGCTCTCGCCCGACAAGATCGGATCGAGTCGAACCGATCGACTCGACCTGCCCAGCTGGCCGACTCCCAGGCCGGGTGGGGGCCCGCTCGTTGGGTCCAGGGCTGGGACGCACAGGGACATACTAATACTGTATGTCCTCCTAGGAGGCGTGCGCCCGACCCGAACATATAGTACACCCAGCTTGTGGTACATCGTTTCCCGAGCGGTGTGGCCAGAACGCGCCCGCCACGACGCACATACTGCAGGATTTCTCGGTGCGCGCGTCGCCCCTGGGGGGGCGACGCACACATAACACTCCTATGTTAGGGTGACGCCGAATGATCTTCACGACAGGTTCGACCACCCTGGTCCATCGACTGCGCCCTGGCGGCAGGCCGCCGGCGGTGCCCTCGGGTCTGGGCTGTCTTCTGCGCCCCTTCTGAGGCTAGGTCGGGCATGCCCCCCAACAGGCAGACTGTGGAAGACAATCTTTTCGTCGGCGGCGAGGCAGAGGCAGTCCGCACCAGCGTGGGGCTCATCGGGGCAATCGATCGGCGAATTGTCTGGCGGGCAAGAGAGAGAGAGAGAGAGAGAGAGAGGCGAAGACGAGGGAGGCCGCGCGAAGGGCGGAGGGGGCACCAATCGAAAACATTGTAACCGAACGCGATGCACCTGTCCATCTCTGGATCCACCAAAAAGGGGGGGGTGACCCTGAGCGGGGGCATGAGTTCGATCCGCTGGAGCACCGAACTGCCGCAAGCAGATGCCCCCCCGCATGCCCCACCCATCGGCGGCCATCGTGAGCTGCTGGCGGCTGGGGGGCATCTGTCTTGTGCGATTCGGTGCAAGAGCCGATCGAACTCCCCCCCCCATTTGCGGGATCCCGACCATGTTTTTTTTTTTTTTTTTTTTTTTTTTTTTTTTTTTTTTTTTTTTTTTTTTTTTTTTTAGTTCAAGAGCGCAAGCATTGTATGATCATCAGTGCCGACTGTGCGGCGCCGACCGCGCGCACGCAGGAGGGCCGCTTGCCCTTGTGGAAGGCAGCCACGGATCTGGTGTGGGGCTCTCAACAGTGGCGCACAAAAGCCCAGCAGCAACCTGTGCTCGTTCTGAAAAACGATTTGCTGTCGGCGTCGCGGCGGTTGTTACAGGGCAGTGTTTAATACATATGACTGCTTATAAACAACATAGGAATTGTAATACATGCCTAATGTATGAATATATCTATGCATGAACTCCTCGTTGTTTGAAATACTAATCCCCTGCATGTTTAATACATGATCCGCACGCGGAGCATGTACTACAAACGGCACTGTATGTTCGTTTGTGACAGAAGGCCACCTGCCCAACAAAGGTCGCTGTCGGTTTTGGACAACGCTTGGTGTTTGGGCATCGTACAACTGTCCTCCGTACCCATTCCGGGCGCCCTCAACCCGATCCACGAGCCGCCGTCACGCCTAGAGACTTGATCTGCACGTTCACGTGCAGGCCGCCCTTCTCCCACGAGTCCTCGCATCACAGCAGCCCCGGCCCATCTCGGCGGCGAGCCCGGTGGGAAGTGAGAAGGGGCGGGCCTTCTCAGAAGGCTCGAGGTCCCATAGCCCTCTGAACA